GTCCAGCGCGCCCAGCGCTTCCCTACCGCGCCCTATNGTTCTCCTGCCACAGCCACAATTTCAAAACAGAAAAGCAAAAGATCCCAGACAAGCCCCCAATAATTCTGTAGTGGCCCTAGGGTTAGCCGCTACGCGAATTATGTGCGTGTGAATGCACTATTGTTTTTGCGGGATCATTTCTTGCTCCCGGTGGCAAAGCGGGACTGTGTTGCGTGGCAGCAAGAGACAAACAAAAAAAGGAAATAAACACAACGCAAGTCCTGAAGTATACGGAACTGTTGGCTTTATTTCTCGCCTACACATCGTTGTAAACATTAAATATAGTTTATGTTGGCAAGGGGCCAGGGAAAGGCTAGGTCCAAGAATTTAGATCTACCGAGTGCACGCAAATCCGACGTCTCTATTGAGGTTGCCCGGAGTAAAAAATAAGGGGTAACGGCACCTGTCGTCGGCTCTCGGCATTCTCCTCACTCTTCTCTCCGTTCCTCTGCCTTCCTTCTTCTTTCTTCTGTCTTCTTTTCTTCTCTCTTCTATCTTCTGTCGCCTCTCTTCTGTCTTCCCTCTTCTTTCTTCTTTCTTCTTCCTTCTATTTTCTTCCTTCTATCTGCTTTCTTCTTTCCTCGTTCTTCTGTCTTCCTTCTTCTTTCTCCTGTCCGCTTTCTTCTGTTTTATTTCTTCATTCTTCCTGTTCTGCTCTCTTCTATCTTCTGTCTTCTTTCTTCTGCCGTATCCGGGGGTGAACTGTACTCGTCGTCTGCTTCCTGTCGACTGCTCTAGTGCTCCTATACTGGGTCAGTATTCCCTGTGTCGGTGCTCCTATTGGTCGGTGCCTCCCCCACCGGATCAGCGCTCCTCGTAGTGGGCGGTGCTCCTCGTAGTGGGCGGTGCTCCTCGTAATCCTAAGGGGAAAAGGGAGGTGCGTCCCGTAGCGGTGCTCTGAGTGATCCTACGGGGTCAGTGTCTCCTTGGTTCTCCTAGTGATCCTATGGGGAAGTCAGTGCTCCTTGGTTCTCCTAGTGATCCTATGTGGAAGTCAGTGCTCCTTGGTTCTCCTAGTGATCCTATGGGGAAGTCAGTGCTCCTTGGTTCTCCTAGTGATCCTATGGGGAAGTCAGTGCTCCTTGGTTCTCCTAATGATCCTATGGGGAAGTCAGTGCTCCTTGGTTCTCTTTTGTTGCTCCGTGTGAACGCTGTTATTATTCTTCCTGAATTCGTATGTTAAAGCAAACACTTGTAGGAAAAGCTTTAGAATAACACTGGAATAATCAATGGGAAACTTATACCCGAAAATCTAGCATCCTTTGCAACAAAAAACATAAAGCCATTGACACACTTTTTCCTGGTCTCTTAAAACATGATCTTGAGATCTGCAAGAAAGCGTGTTATTAAACACCAACGAATGTCCCAGCCGATGGTAACAGACACTGAGACAGACACACACCATTTTTCCAAAAGGTTTTATACATAAGAGGTGAAATTAACTCCGTACTCTTCAGGGGTTTCTCCGGTTCGTCTGTTGCGGTGTCGTAGCTCACTACGATGCACATATATGCATTCCGCTGGATCAAATCGGCGCTGTAGTGCTGCCACCAGGCGGTCGTAGTCCTCTCTCTGTGCCCGAGGGAGTTCAATCATGGCCTCCAGGGCTTCACCGTCAAGGCATAGGCCAAGCTGGACGGCCCAAGTGTGAATTGGCCATTTGTTAAATGCCGCCGTCATCTCAAATTTAATAATAAATATTTTCAAGGTAGTCCCATCTCCTTTCCCAAATGTTGGTGGTTTTTTCTCCCGTACCTTCTGAGTGTGTTGTACTCGGCTGTATGCTCGGTCTGCCTGTGCTCCGAGTCTCGAGTGGGTGGAGGGATACCCTCCAGCTCGGGGTTCTGGTCTTCACTGACCCTGGGGAATCGAATCGGTGTGACGCCCTTCTGCTCAACGTTTTTGTTTCTGTTGTTCCTTGGCGCTGCTCCGTTCCTCCGTGGTAGAAGGCAGATTTCGGCTCCGTCCATGTCGTATTCGCTCTACTCCTGGTATGTTTCCTCCCGCTCTCCTCGGGTGTTGTGCGGACTGTCTGGTATGAGGTGGAGGCCGCCGTAGCCATCCTGACCATTCCTTAGCTTCTGAATCCTCAGAACTCGAACTCGCCTCAAATATGCTCTGCTTCTTAATCCTCCGCCTCCCGGTAGCCTGTCCCTCCGTATGTCCGCTGTGCGCTTCATCGATCTCCTGGGCTTCTTCTCCAATGTGTACGGTCCTCTGGATCTCATCCTCTTCTTCCTGTTCTGAGGACCATCTTTGGCTTGGTGGTCGTGGCAGTTTCCCTGCCCTCCTCTCCTCGAAGTGGGTTCGGGATGTGGCATGCATAGGGCGAGGCTCGGGGTCGTGAGCTTGAACGAGGGTATCGCCCAGAGAATGCTGATGCTTAAGCATCGGCCTGCTCGGTACCCTCCTAAGTATAGAAGATCTGCTCTTGGCCTCACGGCTTAGATCTAAACCTGCCCGAGTAGGCCCGGGGAAACTTGTAGGCCCA